AAGTGAATAAAAAATTTGATGGGCATGGAAAGAGAGTGTACTGACAAGTCTTGGGGGGAAAGGATGTGGGGGGTGCAGGAAGAGACTGGACAAAACATCATACACTTATGGATGAGGATAGTGGGCAGGGGGCGTAAGGGAAGAGGGTGGGATGGGAACCGGGTAGAGGGGAGCTATGGGGCGAAAAAAGGAACAACAATAATCTGAACAATAAAGATTTAACTAAAAAAAAGAAAGTCAATCAAGCAGATCAATATTTGGTGTACGGCACTATTCTCTTGCACAAAAGTATCAAATGGTATAAAAAAAGTTGGTTTCTTTTTGATAAATTGTACCTTTTTCAATGCGTTAAAAATTTATTTCTATATTGCCCTGGCCGGTTTGGCTCAGTGGATAGAGCGTCGGCCTGCAGACTCAGGGGTCCCAGGTTTGATTCCGGTCAAGGGCGTGTACCTCGGTTTCGGGCACATCCCCAGTAGGAGGTATGCAGGAGGTGACTGATCAATGTCTCTCTCATCGATGTTTCTGACTCTCTATCCCTCTCCCTTCCTCTCTGTAAAAAATCAATAAAATATATTTTCTTAAAAATTATTTCTATAAAGTTTTTTTTTAATGAGGTACAAAAATTTGGTGCTCAAAATTGCTAGAGAATAGATTACATAAAATTCAACAGTGCAGCACACAACCTAGCACCTCTTCCATTATATCTAGAAGAGCTCCAAATAAAGATCCGCCATTCCGATTGTCAGGAAAATTAAAAGATCATGTTTTATAAAAAATAGTAACCAGCGATAAAAAAAAAAAATCTCACTAGGGCATGTTCTTCTAAGGGAAGGCATAGTGAAACACAATAAGAATGTAAAACTTGTTTAATACCATTGCATGTAAATACGTATTATACAATATATCACACTCAAAAAATATTTTTAAAATAAAATACATAACATATGACAAAGTACATTTAAGCTTTTTTAGATGCTTTCATTTAATATTGAACTTGAAATAGCCGGTCAGCAGCGTGCTAAGTGTTGCCACACGAGAAGGAGGACAGTGAATTACAAGCCAGGGGAAAGCACCTGATTGGTCACTTCTGTTCCCGTTCATATTATTACTTTTGTCATACTGAACACACTAAGAAATTGCCTTTCGAGTAATCAGTGCAACAGTTTTTATAAGGTATGGCAACCTGTAGAAAATGGAATTTTGGGTTATTAATGTCAATAATGTTTTCTGCCCTGGCTGGCTTGGCTCAGTGGATAGAGCATCAGCCTGCAGACTGAGGGGTCCCAGGTTTAATTCCGGTCAAGGGCATGTGCCTGGCTGGGACGTGCAGGAGGCAATCAATCAGTGATTCTCATCATTGATGTTTCTATCTCGCACTCCCTGAAATCAATAAAAATATATTTAAAAAGAATGTTTGTTTTCTGCCATCTAGATAGAGTTGATACTTGTTCCTGTATGTTTCTTAATCTTTCTATAGTGAGAGAGAAAGTAAGGTATCATTGCTGAAGGGCCAAACTAATAATCTCTTGGTAAAGTTTATTGCAAGTAAAATCTCTCTTTTAATTAAGCTGACAATTTGATAAAATTGCATATCATTGTAATTATGTTTAAATGGAAGTCTTGGTACAGCATGCCAAAAGAGGGTAGTTTATTTGAGAGTTATATAACTCGGTGCCTTATTGAACACCAGTTTCTTTCTGGGAGAATTATGAATTGGATTTTGTTTTACTTCAAATGGATGCTTTTGTGCCCGCATTGAACCTGCTGGGATTGATAAGACCTATACTGTCCTTACCCACCTGCCTCTCCATTACTTCCTGCCCTCAATGAGACAAATCCCAGGACAGAAATGGGGCTGGGATTAGGGAGATAGCTACAGAATTAGCACACAGCATTCTGCTTAGAGGACAGTGCCTTAAGAGCCCCTATATTTTTCTTTAATAGAAATGCTTAAAATTATCACCAAAAAAGTATCAAGAGTTACTTTACTAATCAGAACTTTAAAATAGTTTTAATTAGATCTAAGTTCTAGTCCCAAGTCAAAAGGCAATCTGTTGGGTTTTTCATATCTTGTATTGACAACTTTCTAAATGATAATGTAAATAATAAAGTAATTGGTGGGCTGAAGAAATAGAAGGGAAATCTTCAGCACTATAAGATTTCAAAGCTGTTAATTTGTATATTTACCAAAACATATTTGAGAGTTTGGGAACATTTTTATAAAATTGCCTTTCTCTGTACAACTGGCTTCTGAATTAAACACCTTTAATTGGACAGGAACAAGCTGAAAGCTGGGTACCTAATGTCAGTGGAGTCTTCGGAAGGTTTCCTGGATGAGATCGGGTCTCAGGCTCTCGTCGCTGGCTCCTACGTGCCACCACCCACAGTCCTTCAGCAGATCGACTCAGTAGCGGATGCTGATGTCATAAATGTAAGCAAATGAAAACTTACAGTTTAACATGAGATATGACCTTCATGATCCCCTTTCAGAAGGCATGCTTACGCTTCCTGGGGCTGCTGTTTGGTGCCTTTCTACCTGGTGTGGAGGCAGGAGGACTCATTACCATCAGATCTGCTTGTCAGCTCAAGATTTATGTTTCTTCCTCATTTAACTAAATTACCGTTAGGTTAAACCATTTTAAATTGTTAAGAAAAATCAAGTATTGGCAATTTTCTGATTCAAACTAATAGTCAAGTTTGGTATTTTTTCTTTTCACTCCCAAGAAGTAAACTGTCCTGCCAACCCTTCCTGACCCAGCATCTCGAGATTTTCTTTGTCCTCGCAGTCTGAGGCATTCTCCTGCTCTGGCTATGTCTTTTTTCACATATTGTTCTTACAAGATGAGTTGTTTTGAGGGCAAGGATTATGTCTTCTAGCTTCTCTTTGTAATTCCTACTATGCCTAACAAGTACGTGATCTACAGAATAAATCCAAAGGCAGTGGGTTTTTCCAGTCATTTCTGTATTAAACATAAGAATGTCAGCTGCCCTTCCATTGTGGAGGTCTGAACCTTCTCCTCAGCGACAGGTCTACCGTGGGGCTAGGTAAGGTAGTGACCCGGTCATGATTTCACTTGGCCCCAGAGTCTGTTACCTGCTCTTCCAAATGCCTTCCTCAATTGCCGCCACCGCCATCCTTTGAAAAAAAGTGGCCTGGGATCATGTGGGGCTGATACTCATGGTATTACACTTAACCTAACAACCACCAACTTGAAGTCGTGGTATAAAGAATACTAAAATTTGACTTCTAAGTTAATCAGTGTATTTTTATTAACTCAGGCCATTTGCCATTGTGATACAGAAACAGGAAAGCCACAGACCCGCCCAAGGCCGCCTCTGCCCTATTTTGCAATGTCGGTGAGGCTTTCCTTATCCCCTTTACCAGCTGCCCGCGCATCAGAGAGTCACACATGTGCGGGTACTCCCAGGAACAGCTGAGCTTTTCCTCAAATTAAACCATGCCAGCCCTCTCCTGTAGTTCAGTTTCACTAGCGGCTCTGGCAATTGTTGACTTAAGAGTGTCCTGTGCATAAGTAACAGAATAAATATGTTTTAAGTACTTGATAGTGCATGTTCTTATTTTAACTTTCTGCCTTTTGTTTGTTTACTTAAAGGCTGCAAAGAAGTTTGTTTCTGGCCAGAAGTCAATGGCAGCAAGTGGAAATTTGGGGCATACACCTTTTGTTGATGAGCTGTAAACCTGAAACACATTGTAGGAAAGAGCTGGACATTTTCTCAACCGAGAGCAGCAAACACATGGAAGTTCCACGTCTGTAATGTAACATTGTCTTGATTTTCAATGAGGTGAAAAATCTTAAAAAGTATAAATGCAGGTAATTGTTCCCTGCTTACCTAAAGTCAATAAAATATTCTAAGTGTTTCTTGGCGTTTTTCCTAATCAGTTAATCAACAAGTTTTTATTTTCTGCAGACATGGTTTGGTTTGGTTTGGTTTTTGTTTTTCTTCCTTTTTTTTTTTCTTCTTCTAATTAAGAGTCCCTTCCTGGTCCTACTTGCATGAGTGGCTGTGACCAGGTAGAAAAGGGGAGGGGAACCAGGCAGCGTGGGGAGGAGTTATCTTCACAGCATTCCATTTATACACAGAACTAAACAGACACGCAGAGTCACTATTGCGGTTAGAAGTTGGCAGCATGGGAAAGGGGAGGAACAGGTTGCAAGTAGGGGTGTCATTTAAAAAAATTCAGGCCCTTTCCAAAACTGGGCGGGGGGACGTGGTCTGTTTCAACCCAAGAGGGATCAGAAGATCAAAAGCGGTTTGGGAAGGCCAGATGGTCAGGCATGGAGGGAGGAAGGAGGCTCAGGGGGTGGGGGCCTGTTTAGCAACTGGGTGAAGGGATAGTCCTCCCTGTGCTGGGATCCCCCCAGCCCTCAAGTCTGGCAGGAGAGGGACAGCCTGCAACCCCCCACAGGCAGGTCTGGGGCTGCCAGATGCTCCAGGCAGGGGGCTGGAGGGGGCTCAGAAGGCTTGCCCTCCAGGGAGAGGACAGCGCTGCCCCCAGCTTCCCTGCCAGAGGGCAGCACCCTTGACCTTGGAGCAGCTTGCTTGTAATTCATGCTTGATCCTGTAAGCTTCTTCTTGGTGGCGTCCCTGGAGCTGGCATAGCTCATTTTGCTCTTAAGGGGTGCAGACTCAGGGCCCAGAGATAAGCCCAGGTCCCCTTCCTGTCCTCAATCTTATAGGTTGCGTTAGGCAGGGCGCAGCGTCCTGCAGCATCTTGACGAAGTGGGCAGCGGGGTCGTCTCCTGTCTGGCCCACAGCACCCACCAGAACCTCCTCGCCCTCTTCCCGGATGATGTTCTTGCCTTCACTGGGGCAGGAGAGCACCGCCTTCCTGCGCTTCTTCACCTCCTCACACACCTTCATGTCACTGAACACTTCGATGACTCCCTCAACAACAGCCACACAGGCCCTGATGCTGCCGGGCCGCTGGACTGCAGACATGTTTTAGATGCTGTGAAGGACAATGGGATAGAATAGCATGAGAAAGGATTACAACCAAGCTGAGTGTCAGTAAATACTTCCAGCCTAGTATTGGTGGCTTTTTAAAAGATAAACGCAATTAAAAATCTCTCCTTTTGGGTAAGAACAATTAAATGGGCTGGGTTTTACCCTCTTTTTTTGCCTATTTGCAATAAAGTTATTTCTCTTTTTTTTTTTAAGAGAAGAGAAAGGGAGAGAGAAACAATTGGCTGTCTCCTGCACCTCCCCTACTGGGGATCAGCCCACAACCCAGGCACCTGCCCTGACCAGGAATCAACCAGCAACCTTTCAGTGCCTGGGACAATACCCAGCCAACTGAGCCAGAGCACACAGAGTTATTTCTGAAAAACAAATTCCCCACCAGTTGTGTGCTGTGTTCCCAGTGCTTCATTTTATGTCTGCCTTACCTTCACTATGCAGAACTTTACTTTCCCTCATTAACTACCAACCCAACATTCAAAGTAAAAGTAGGGCAGAAAGGGGGGAAAAAATTCTAATATGAACAACTAGCCAAAAAAAAGTATTTTTCCTATGAAGTAGGGCACTTTATAAAACAAGAGAAACTAAACATCTAAATCACAATGTGGTACTTACCTTTAAAAGTGAAATTCTCTGCTGTGTTTATACTTTCTGATATCAAGCTGTTCATTTTCTAAAAGATGAAACATTCTTCTCAGAAAGGAGGATCTTAATGATCTGAGTGATGCTATTTTGAGAATAAAATTTGTGAGACCTGTTGTGGCACCCAGGGAAGACTTGGCTATCACGTTGAAGCAGGCGTAAAGGTTTCACAACAGTTGCAAAAGCATTGGAACGTGTGCACATATTCCTGTGAGTACAGCAAAGCTGTGCATGGCAATGCACAAAAGTGGGGGAGTTTCCAGAGAAATGCTCCAGGATCACAGATTTGCAAACTACTAACCAACTTTTGGTGCAGGTTGACCCTTGCCCTTTTCAACTTGGGCATAGTCTTCCAGCCAGAATGCGTCTGAGGCTGAGGAGGAGGAGGAGCTGTCCTTGTCTTGCTTCACCATGGTCCAGTAAGGGGAAGGGGCTCTCACTCCTTCCCTGTGGTCTCCGTGAACCATGATGTCACAGGCAATGTCTGTTCCTACGCTGATCGTCTCATTCTTCTTTTTGTATTCATGCCATTCTCTGGAGATCGACATGGGTCTCCTTGCAGGATGATGCCCAGTGGACCGTGGGGCTTTATAATACTTAAGTTTTTTATCTAAAACATCTTCCTTGTCATCACTGCTTGTGAAAAAGTCGCCTGTTGCCTCCTCAGTTTTCTTCGTTGTGCTAGAAATAAAAGAATAGTGAATGAAATTTTTTTTTAATCCTCACCTGAGGATATTTTTTCCATTGATTTCTTTTACAGAAAGTGGGAAAGAGGGAGGGAAACAGAAAGAGAGAAACATCCATGTGAATGAGACACATCAACTGGTTGTTTCCCGCACGTGCCCGGACTGGGACCAGGAATCAAACCCTCAGCCCTTCAGTGTGGGGATTTTAGCCTCATACTTAAGTTGTGCTATTCTGTGTTTATCTTTTCTTTGCTTTTGAACAGTGAATCTGTCATCCTTAGATTTCAGTATTCTGAATCTCAAACTCTATAATTAATGCTTAGTTAGAGCATAGTAGTTGTATGAGCGAATAGTTTAGAGCCCAGGCTTAAGTAACACTTCCCGGTACAAGGCCCGCCAGCTCTATCTGGCTGCTAAATTTAAACTGGTGAAACATGAGTAAAATTTACAGCTCCTCATTTGCAAATCCTCACATTTCGAGTGCTTAATAGCCACATGTGGCTGCTGGCTGCTACATGGAACAGCACCCAGCCAGATTTCTTTGAAGATGCAGGGCTGCGGCAACGAGGGTTCAGGAAACCTGCCAGAGCTTAGTAAGGACCACTCCTGCATCAGCACTGAGCTTCTCGTGTTCTACCGAACTTCTCACATACCTGGTCCTCAGAGGGTCCCTGGTGCTCCTGTGCTAACACAGAACAAGCTCTCAGATTCAGTGATTTGCCAGAGTTTCCAGGCTGGGTTTCCATTTTCATTCACTGAATAACTGGGCTCTCAATCACTTAAAAGTCCTGTGGTAAGTTTAGCATAACAAGATAGACCTGTCCCTGCCTTCATGGAGTTTGCATTCCCCAAGGGCAACACAGTAAGCAATTGGTTATAAGGATTATTTCATTGAAATTGGGATCAACGCTGAGGAGAGACCAGGGTAGTAAGAGGCCATATCACAGGGTCCTAAGCTTGTTGCAGACAAAGGCTCTGCAGCAAAGAGCAGCAAGGTAAAAGCTGAGAGCCAAGTGGACTACAGGGGAGGGGAGCAGCACAAGTGAGGCTGGAGTGATACTGGAGCATTTATCCTAAGAACAAAGGAAGGTCTTAAAGATTTTAAGGCATGTCACAATTCAAAGAAAATTGTAAAAGGATCATCTGTGTAGAGAATAGGGAACAAGAGTAGATGCAGGGAGACAAAATAGTGGCTTTGACTGGGGTGGTGGTAGTAGCCAGAGAGAAGTGGACAAATGTGGGAGATAACTGACAAGTCTTAGTGATTATTGGGGGGAGGGGAAGACAAGGGAGATAGAAAAATCAAGTACAGTCCCGAAATTTCTGACTTGCTCGACTAAGCAGACATAGTAATAGAGGCCAAAAGAATCAGGGAGATTGCCCAGCAGATTGAGAGGAGAGCGCCAAATATTACACCTTAGGGAACTCCAAGGCTGGGTAAAAGGGCACCAAGAGAAAGTGACCAGAGGTCATAGGAGAATCAGGGGAGTGGGTATCAGAAACCAGGGGCAGGTGATGTTTCAACACGAGTGAGGTTGGAAGGTTGTAAAGTGTCTAATGCTCAGAAGCCAAGCAAAATAAGATGAGAGGAGCCCACTAGAATCTGATGTGAAAGTTGTGGGGGAGGGGGGAAGGAGCCTGGGAAACGCCTCGGGCAAATGATGGGAGCAAGCCCAGACTAATGCAGGCAGAGGAATGCCCTGTCTGGTACAGCTCTTTCAACAAGTTTGGAGTTAGGGACAGGGCGGTGGCCAGAGTGGGCAGAGAGAGGACAGTGGAGTTAAGGTGGGGTTTACTGAGATGACAGAAGCTTAAAAATGCTTAAATGTTATTGGGAAGGATCCAGAGAGCAGCTGGATGGGCAGGAAACAAATGGAATGGGATTCCCAGCACCTTTAAAGGCTGACTGGTGTGGGCATTTGGAGGCAGAGTTCCCATTGGATGGTTTAGTCTTCTTCATTAACTCCAGGTTCAAGGCTCTTGTCTCTCTCTTTCTTCCTGATGCCTGTTCCTGCAGATCGTTCTTTCCATAAGGATTTAGACACCTGGGACATCATTCTAGCAGGGTCACCAATTCCTCCTACCATGGTCCACGCAATAATTTTCACATTAAATCAAGACCCTGGGCTTCATGGACCTTGGAGAATTATGTAGTATAACAAAGATTTCCAAAAATGAACTACTTACCATGTTACTGGGAATTTGGTCTCAGGGATTAAATCATATATGTCTTGCCATTCTTGGGGTATGTCAATAAATTCTCGGTAAACCTCGATTTGCAGCACTGTTCCTGTGGTGATGCATTGCAAAAGCTTTAAAAATTCCCGAAGAGTATATCCTAACACATTGGCCTGGCCAACACTAATCAGAACATCACCTAAAGAGGGGGGGAGATTAGCAGTGAAATTAATGGTTGAAAGGAAATATTCCATTTCTGTCTTTATTGTGAAGTGTTTCCTTTTATGGGTTCATATTGCTGGTTCATTTTTTAACCAAAACCAAGCTTCAGTCTTTATTTTTTATTTTGTTTTGTTGTTAATCCTCACCCAAGGATATTTTTTTCCATTGATTTTTAGAGAGTGGAAGGAAGAGAGAGAGAGAGAGAGAGAGAGAGAGAAATATCAATGTGAAAGAAATATATTGGTTGCTATAGTCCACACCCCAACTAGAGCCAGTGACAACGCCCACAACTTGGGCATGTGCCCTGACTGGGAATTGAACCGGGGGCCTTTTGGTGTGTGGGACAACACTCAACCAACTGATCCATAATGGCCAGGGCAGACCAGTCTTTATTTAATAAAAGCGACCACCTCAGTGACATGTGTCCTTTGCATAATAACAAATGCATTCAAGATGTTCCTTACAGCAGTGCAACGGTAGGTAATATGTTTTCAAAGCATTTCTAACAGAAGCTACACCATATATAATTGAAGCATCCTTTAGGATTCTAAAAATGTGTTTCAAATAAAATGAATGGCTATTACTCATTTTTTTTATAGATATATTTTTTATTGCCCTAGCTGGTTTGGCTCAGTAGATAGACTGTCAGCCTGAGGACTGAAGGGTCTTGGGTTTGATTCCAGTCCCCTGTGGCATCGGTCCCCAGTAGGTGGCGTGCAGGAGGCAGCCTATCAATGATTCTCTTTCATCATTGACTAGAGGCCTGGTGCAAGAAATTCATGCATGGGTAGGGTCCCTAGGCCTGGCCGGAGAAAAGGGCCGATTGGGGCCTTCTGGCTGCTGACCGGGGCCTTCCTTCTGACTAACCGACTGGGGCCTTCCTTCTTTCTGCAACACCCCTGTGGTCAGCACACATCATAGCGAGCGATCAAACTCCCGGTTTCCCAGTCCAACTCCCGAGGGGACATTTTGCATATTAGCCTTTTATATAGAGAGAGGTTTCTATCCCTCCCTCTCCCTTCCTCTCTGATATTCAAACTACACAAACACTTGTACATGTGCCCAAGGACTTCTGTAAGAATAATCAAAGAATATTCAGGGTAACATATTTTAAGAGGAATTTTCAAAAGCAACATATGTGTTCATTCACAGTGAATTTTTGATTAAAAAATGGTACATCTGCACTAAGGGATGCTCTGTACCCTTTAAAAAGAATGAGGTAGATATGTAATAATGTGAAAATATATTCACAATTTTTTGTTCCATGAGAGAATCTTTTAAATTTGCAAAAACTATCTATGGTATGATGTCATTTTTGTTTAAAAATTCACATGGTCATGTGTATAAAAGTATGTGAGAGCACATAAAAAAAAGTTCTGGATGATTATTAAAAATTTTATATGTGATAAATCAAAGAGACTGTATTGGGAATGGAGAAATGGGATGTTTAAGTTGATATTCCTTTGTATTGTTTGACATTTTTATAAATGAATGAAATTTAAAATATATTTTTTAATTAATTTCAGAGATGAAGGGAGGCAGGGGAAAGAGAGAGAGAAACATCAGAGATGAGAGAGTATCATTGATCGGCTGCC